AGTGCGCTTGCAATGTGGTATGGTACGACCGACGGTGCGGCGTCCAGGCTCGATTGGCAGGCATGAATCTCCTCTTGCAGGCGCGCCCACACCCGAGGGTTCTTCAAAGCGAAGTAAATTGCCGCATTCAGCGTGATGGCTGTTGTATCTGCACCGGCGATCATATTGATCATGAGGTACGAGATAATCCGGCTGTCATCGACAATGTCGGGGTATTTGTCTTTGGCGTCGATGAACCTGTCTAAGAAATCGGGCTTGTTTGCATCGTGGTAGCTGGTGTCCTTGCCTTGCACTCGGTCAAGCAGATGTTTTATCGAGATGTTTGTGATATTACCGAACGCTGGGGGCCCGATTCGATAGATAGGATTCTTGTCTAGGAGATGGTCTAGGACTGGGAGTTGTCCCACGAGAGAGAAATAGTCCATAGCGGTGTCAGAGATGGCGATGGTGCCATCGAAGTCGAAGCCGTTCTTGAGGTAGCCGATGGGCTCGCTAAAGGTGGCTTGTCCTACTACGTCCCATGTATCTACCTCAATTAGCATTCAACACGGCCTGTGTATGAAAGAGGTGAGCCTACAGAACAACAGCCACTGATCCAATTTGCATGTTATGCCAGTGTTCGATCCATCAATAAACTCCTCTTCTAGCCTCTGACAGAGGTAGTTGATCACCTCATCAATATGGGGCTCAAGGGGTAGGACACCGGTCAAGGAGTAATACTTAGCAATAGGTCGCTTTTGTTGTGCGTGGATATCGGGGTCACACTCGCTGAATAGGTTGTATATAATTCGGCCGTTGCTTTTGGCGCTACTGCCATGGTAGAATTCGGTCTTTCGATAATCCCCTTTTGTGTTGTAGATTGTTTTGATCATCGCGGGTAGATCCAAGTCGACGACATTAGGGGCGATCCGCACCACAGGGCCATATTTCTGGTGAAGCTCATGGAGAACCATCTGAGACTGTCCCTGTGTGGCATGGTACATCCGCCAGAGGTTGGTCCATCCTACAAACGAGAGGTTAATGACGACAACAGAGACTAATGCGACGGGACGACGTCCAAGTGCTGGCGCGGGTGGCTTCCACAACTCACCGGCGAGAAAAGGACCAGGGATCCTGCGTAAAGGAGAAATGAGATAGGTCGCTAGATACCAAAATACCAGGGCTATCCACAATGTGCCAAATAGAGAGACAGCAAAGCCTCCCAGGCTATAGTCGAGCGCCCAAAACAAGAAACAGTCCATTTTTGGAATCAGTTGAGGATGAAGTCCCTGGCGATGAAACAAGCAAATAAATTAGAGAGACCAGGGTCAGAGTATACCCGGTATTTAGAGAGTCTGAGATAACATTTCACGAGGTGATCCCGTATACAATTGGCCAATGCATCTGTTATCGGCGCTATGATGTTGGGTCTAGAACACGCACTAATGCACGCGGTGCGCTATGAAAACATCCGCACCACCCCTAGAATTTCTTAATTGCTTCATTTGCTCTTCCCCGGCGCCAAAGTACCTTCTGATGGGACTCAAAACCAATCCATTGGTTCTTCCGGAGCCTTCCTCCGCTTGCCCCGGGAGGCTCGGTTACTATTTCGGGTGAGGTCTCTTGCACATCATGGGTCTCGTTCCCTTTGACACTCGGGAAACTCGATAGCTCCACTTGCACGGACCGACCGCCGTTGCGCTACGTCGAAATGACAGGTAGAAAGTGGATACAGGCACTGACAGAACTTTATTTGCAAGCTCAGGGCACCTGTATGCACTCGCATATGACCAGTATCCGGGGAGCGAAGTAAAGCTCTGGGGGAAGAGGGACATCGCAAAATAAAAGTACGTGCCAGTGAGCCGAGAAGCTTGGACCTATGGGACGGGAAGGAGGGCTTACAGTATCCTTCGTGTCGTAACTCGAGGTTAGTCGAAATAATACTTCGAAAAGACGGGCTGGGTTGTTGATAGTTCACAGTTGACAAGGGAGGGTGTGCATCTTAAGGTACTTTGTACGATTCGACCGCGTATATCTAGTCTTGTCCATACTCGCCCACCATGCCCTTGGCTTCAAGTTTGATTCGACTTCTCATCAGCCGTACAGCCTGCATCTTGCTGAGTAGCCTTCTTTCTAAAGTGCGTTCAAGATGCTGGCCGGCCAAGGGGTCAAGGCAATCGTGGTGATGTGGGTGATGGTTGTGTTATCCTTTATTCTCGTTCCTTTACGACTGTACACCCGGGTTTGTATAGTCAAAGCTCTGGGGCTGGATGATCATGTGTTCAATTTAGGCTGGGTAGGTCCCGTCTTTTGAAAGCCGAGTGATTCTGTAACGATTCTTAACTCTCGATCCTAGGTATTCCTCCTCTTATATACAATATTCACCACCATCGCCGGAAAGCACGGGTTCGGACAACCGATTACCAGCCTGTCCATGGATGAAGCTGTTCAAGCCGTGTACATGGAAATGGTCGGTCAGACGTTTGCCGTTCTGGGGATGGCCATTGCGAAGCTTTCATTAGGTATATTTCTTTTGCGAATTGTGGTAAAAGCATGGCATCGAGTATCGATTTGGATCTCGATGGGCAGTCTATCACTTGTCTCTGTGATGACGGCGATTATCTTCTGGACCCAGCGCCTTCCCGCCAAGGCAATCTATGACCCTCGTGTACCTGGTCGAACTATCGTCAGCGTTACCCCGTTCTCAGTGCTACTAGGCGGTATGCTGCTTCTGACAACCCCTCTAGCTGGATAGCTGACTTATCCATTGTGTTATACTTAGCATGGTGCGCCGCGGTCGACTTTTACTTCGCCATTCTGCCGTGGATATTCATTTGGGAGCTCAACATGCGGTTCAAGGAGAAGATGACGATCGCGATCAGTCTAAGCCTAGGATTCATGTCAGTCATTCACGTCTCTGGCGAGAGATAGCATGCTAACATACATCCTGCAGCGCCGGTATCTGTGGGATCATTCGTACTATCGAGCTCGGCGGATTGTCGAGTGCTAACTACACAGGTACGTTCATGCTCGTTTTGGTCCACTTAGCCAAAGATCGACACCACTAATGTATGGCTATTTTCCTCATTTGTAGAGGACACGGTTGCTCTCATTATCTGGTCCGCCGTCGAGCTTGCTGTGACGCTTATCTGTGTCGGTATTCCCACAGTCCGCCCTCTTTACCGTTACATTGTCCACGGATCCAGTGTCAAGGAGTCACATGAAGTTTACAAAAGACAAGATGAAAGTGGGAGTGGCAGTGGAAGCCGCGGGAAGCCGACTTTTGCGATGCCCATGCGGAACTTCGCTCGGGCGGGCCGAAAGGACGAATTCCTGACCACTACAACGACCACCGTCGACATGCCAGATGCCAACAATAACGGACCCGATTGGAATAGTCGGTCGTACGTGACGAGTCCCGGGCAGAATGACGAAGAAGCACTCGTGGCGACTATCGAAGAAGAAAATTCTCAATACATGAATCACATATGCGTGCGACAGGAAGTGCATGTGGAGAGAAATTAATTTGAAGAGGAATGTACGGACACTCATTTTCCAGGAGGAGATTTTCATTAACGATATCATTCAATATATGTACCTAACTCACATTCATGACTTGACACTTTGTTGCCTCCGAACTATTCTGTCTTGAGCGCTGTTCCGACATGTTCGGAAGCGATCAGTTTGCTATACGGGTGGAACTGATCGGAGAAACACATTTTATTTGCAAGGTTAGAAGCAATCGAAAATAAATATAGGTATGAGTATAAGAATACAACAAGTATCAAAATGTCTCACTTGGTGGGGGGGGGGGGTGGCTTGCCCTAACAACTACAACCGTCGCGTGCGTCCTTACCAGAACCAATAACTACTAGTAATAGGTAGACCCTGCCATTGACCAACAACGATCAACAGTATGAGATGTTTGGATGAATGAAGCCACGCTGAGTGGCGTTATCAACCGCGTGATCTATGGTGGGATTTGGGATTTCTAGACTCTCAGTACCTTTGCCCCGTGCCAAGCAAATTTCCCCACAGAAAGGCAACCATGTCGTTGGCTTGCCACCAAAGCTCAAACTTTCGGAGTCGCTCTCAGTGGTTACTGTTGGTGCCCACGAGACCAATAAATGGGCCCTGACCAATTTCAGTAGTTGCAAAGACGATCGTTCATGGCTCAGTTCGATCTTGCCTTTCCGACGTTGTCCAGAGTGTTGCTACAGCATGGCCTAGATTCCAATCCACGCAGAAGATATTTCTTTTACTCAGTCATTATTCGATAGCCCATTCTTGCTGAGGATTAACCGTCGTATCCGAGGAGGGACGGCATCAATCCATGTTGTTAGTCAAGTTTTGGGAGGGGTTGCGTGCCCACTGCAAGCCAGGTGCAGCCGTGGCACCACAACAACATCCAGCCCTGGATTGGGTGGTGGAACCGAGATATGAGAACCAGGATCTATTGGCACGGAGGCGTTTCCGGAGCCGTGCTACCTGCAGAGTCAATTCCTTCGGATATCTGGGGTAGGATCAGAAGTAACCAGTTGGAATGCTGGTGTGGCAACAGGGGTCTATCAAAGTTTCCAGGAAAGAAAAGTAAATGATTAGTGCCCCAAGGCAGTTGAACCACAGGACACAAAGCAAAGAAGACAACAAAACTATAGACAGAAACATAGAAAATACCATCTTTATAATAGGTAACATGAATAATCACGATGCGTAGGAGGGTATGGGGAAGTTTGATCAACAGTTTGTGAAACTCGCCGAAATGGATGCATGACGCGACGATTTCTTCTCCACCTAAGCTTCGTCCCGTAGGACCTATGAAAACCCGCTCAATGCAGAAAAAAGAGGGGGATCAACAGCATTCTAGGTTGTTGTTCCCCCAGGATTTCTCCGCAAAGAATGTTTAGGGTTCCGTGGATCGGGTGACCGAATCGGCCAACCGCATTGTCTGATCATCTCGTCATATGATCCACTGCATGACGTCTTCCATCAATCAATCACCCCATGGCATGCAGAGTTGAACTTCTTGAACAATTGTCTCTCTGGGAAATCAATAAATACCCAGTCGTCTCCTCCCTCACCCTTGCCTGTTCAGTTCATTGTTCACTCACCTACTTTATCAATCTTCATTGACCATTCAAGGCTTTTCGCCCACTTCTATCATCTTCTTTCCCGGGTCTAATATTAACCACCCTTCACACCACCACACCATGGACACCGACATGAACAAGTACAATTCCAAATGGGTTGAGTTCCATATTCGGGACCACCTGGAGGACGGCGAGATCTCCGTGCGCCACACCGTCATCGAGGAGTATGTCTTATCGCTTGGTTCGACCATGTTCATTGCTAACCTCTCTGCAGCGGCGAATTCCACAACCCCAACGATCGTAGAAAATCACTCCATGAAGACGAGATCGACGAGATCGTGATCCCTTCTGACGGCATCGGCGAAATCTGTGCTCACGGACGTAGAGGCAGTGAAGGTCGTCTGGACCTGTTCCATGGCAACGACAAGATCTGCGAGCTCCATTGGGATAACCGTGAAGGGATACGCGAAAACCTGGTCGAAATGCTGGATGAAAGTGACAAATACAGGATCGAGCATGGGGGATGGAGCCCAGAGGCAGGACCTCTGGGCCATGTTTACGTTGACGTGTGGGCTAAGGACAAGAGCAAGTAGTCTCTCTCCCCTATACGTGATGCCGTAGTCTTTTTACGGGTGTAGTCCTTTTTTCTTTTCGTTAAGAGTTCAACTTTTTTTTTTTTTTTTTTTTTTTTTTTTTTTTTTTCTTTTTTTTTTTTTTTTTTTTTTTTTTCGTCTCCATGTCCTCGCGAGATGTTACATATTTTGATATCATATCAGAGAAACCTCTATATTAGGAACAAAGCTCAATTGATCAATCAATCAATAATCCCAAGTAATAAAGACACGAATAGTAGTACAACTGAAACATCGTAGCATGAATTGGTCAAGCAATGATTTGCTGTATCATCATTATTCCACTCGAATCGATATCTCAGCTAGTCCGCAATGGGCTTATGTACTCTGCCAAGGATTCTGAGCTACTATAGTCTATCTGCTCAATCGAAATCTACTTCCTCTATTTGGGTAAGATCTTCTCCAGAGACTGATTTGCACTAGGCGCCCATAATCCCACACTTGGGTATGCGGGGTATCCACTCCATTAGCACCATTTCTCGAGGTCATCGCACGCTAGTACATGGAGTCTCTCGGTAACGTATGGCAATATGTGGGGTAATTTGGAATGCTGGGAGCTTTTCGAGTGTTTCTAGTGTCTGTGAACTGAGCACTTTGAACGGTGACTATATACTATACAAACGCCATCTTGAAGCAACATGAGGTGCAAGTATGGGGAAGAATTTTCAGAACCTCTGATTTTTACATAATGTGATGCTATTGAGGGGTCTTCTGCCGTCTCGAGGTCTAAATATGAAAGTACTACGATTCTCGTATTGCAACATTGACCAATACTACGTTGACAATAAATAGACCGAGGCAATCATTTTCTTGGCAAGCTAAACGCGAGAAAACTTCGTGTCAGCCTTCCTCGCACAGAGCAAGATATGGTGTCCCGTAGAGTTCTTTCTTGGAGACAATTACTCCTTATTCTACACATTCTGTACGGGATATCGGTTGCACTTGAACATCCTACTGTGCTTGAACGGTACTCCTTCTCTTGGTTTTGGTTACTGCTACCGTTTGGGGCGACTGAAATGATCATGACTAATAAGATGAGACTTTGCACTCAGGGCGTCCAGCAGGAATTTGACTTACACGTTAACGCTGGAAGGTGACGATCCCACAAGACCTCTGGCACATGAGGAATTCGGGTTGCTGCCACACAAGGTAGATTTGGTCAAGACTCGGTCGGAGTTGGAACGCTCGCGACTAGCATCCGACGTATCCCAAACGGAGAGTCTTCCCTCGTCTGTAGAGGCCTCTCGTTCGACCGCGTCCACCACGGATCAACATAAGACGAAGGAAGGTGTGACATTAGGGAGAATTGCACCGACAGGCATGTCGTCCTCTAAGCCTGGGCGCTCGTCGCAGAAAGGTTCCGGCAATGATGGTTGTATGGGGCCAGTGGATGCGGTTTCTTTTGTGAATAAGGTTAAGGTACGTATCTCGTTGAAGCCCATGGTATTCTTCTCGCACATGATGCTAAGGACCTGCCCACCAGGATCGGTTTGCTGAGCGCCCGGAGCTTTTTAGCGAGTTTCTTCTGATCTTGCAGGCGTACCAGCGGGAGTCGCTGCCTCTGCGGAAGGTGTATGAGCAGGTCGAGGAGCTTTTTGACGCGGAGCCAGATCTGATGAAAGATTTTAGAAAGTTCCTGCCCGAGGCCACAGCTTATAAGCGATAACAACACCTATCTCACTTATTCGTCCCATCCGCAGTGTAGATCCCATGAAGTGCTGGATACGTGATAGCAGACATTCTCCACAGGTTCAAATGACACAAAAGTCCAAAAACCAATATACATACTACAAAAGCAGTCAATGCGGAAAATAGTGTCTTAGTAGTGTGTGTATGATGTTCAAAACGGCTGTGTCATCCACGGTTGACCTTTTGCGAGAAACATCGACACAGTGGTCATTGTGAGATCAACTATCGAATGTGACTCATGCTGCTGATGTTCTCATTAAACAAGCGGAAATCATCCAAAAAAAACCCTACCTACCAGCTGACATATCATACTTGATCTGCTTTACACAAATCCTACATTTTGCAACCATATTGTGACCTCGAACGATGAACGCTCTTAACGCCATTATTACCCGGTACAGGAAGCCCCAGTTGCCCAAATGCGAGCGAGACTTTGAGATTGCTTATCTAGAATGGCAGCGAGACGTAGCAAGCGTGGATGATCCCGAAGAATGTGCCAAGGCGTTCCAATCATGGATTGCACCTTTTCTCGAGGAAAGGGATTTTGGTTATGCGATCCTACAACGGAGGCGTCGTTTGCTGAGCATCAAACCGGTAGCACGTCCGACACTTGAAGGCGAGTCTCCGGAGAAGCCGCCGGACTACAACGAAGCTTGCAATGAGGAGAAATGGGAGGAAGAAGTGAATGAGCTGATGGAAGCATACTGGACAAGCAATAGAAACTTGCTCGCTATGGACGAGACAATGCCTCTGACTTCAAATGTGGTGGAAATCGATCTCCTCCGTACCTTCAAAGATCGACACGGCCGTCTGTACAGTTGGGTCATGGATCGTTCGACGTGTGCGGACACTGGGGGATGCTGTGGACGCGCTTGTGGGTGTTGTGAAAAGCCGTTATTGACATACTATCATCCCCGGGGCTTACTGTATCTCGATGGAAAGAAGGAAGTGGGTGTGTATGGCCATTGCACGGTGGAATGCCCTTGCTGTATCCAAGTCCGGCACCGCTACCATCCTCATCCGCGCCTTCCCAAGTCCGCTTTCTAAAGGGCTGTCGAGATGGAAAGAAGGGAAGTTGGAAAGAAGGGAAAGTGCACTGCTTGCTTTTGTGTATCTTAAATCTGTAGCTTTCGCTCCGTCTCTCGTCCCTTTCTCTTTTGCTTAGCAGACGAGAGTTGACCATTCATTTCTTGTTTCCTCGTATACCATACCAAAGGCTCTCGCTCACCAACTTTCATTAATTTCGTTCATTCTCTTTTTTTTCTTCTTTTTTCTAACTATGCCGTTCACTATTGAACCGGCACATCTCTGGAAGGCCATCGCCCTTATGCTCGCCTGGGTTGTGATAAGTTCCTCTCGCCCAGTCTTTCTGGTGGTCTTTGACTGGCTAAGTATCCACATCAAGCATGGGCTTGAGCGACTGTGGTGCGTATCTTTCTTTGTTTATGGCTTTTCCCAAGCCATTTGTTAGAAGACCAGTTGCTAATAGACGATAGGCCTTTGCCAGAAGGGGGGGGGGTCCGGAGGCCAGGCCAGACCAAACAAGCCAGGAGAGTGTAGGGAAAGAGGAGCATGTGCGGTCTGACTCGCCTGGTAACGGACTCCCTGCCAAAAGATTAAAGATCACCATGAAACGCTGGGTGGAGAGACTGCGGTATGTGCTGTCAGGCCTCCCCTTTACTTCCTGGATGCTGATGCTGTTATCTGATGCTACTAGATATTGGCGTGGCCTCAGCAGGGGAGTGAATTTGGAGGAGGGGATGAGGAGACGATCCAGATCTGCTCGCCCTGCACCACGTCATCCATCGCAGTTCCAGTCAACCCAGGCCGAAGCCAGTGGGGGAGCCGGTCTTGGTGATCTGAATGCCTTGACCTCCTCGCTTCTGCCCACCACGGCCGGTGTCGATCCCACTGGTGGTCAAACTTGAGCATAAGGGCGTTGGCGATTTAGAGGCGAGTCATCCCTTTTCGTTTTGTTTTCTTGTCATTCTTTTTTTTGTCTTTTTTTGTCATTCCTTTTTCTGCGTTTTGTCGTTTGACTTTTCTTGTTTTCTTTCCTTTTTCTTTTCTTTTCTTTTCTTTTCTTTTTTTTTTGTTGTCTTGTCGCTCTTTTCTATTGTATCACTATCCCTTATATCACTATCTTCTCTATTACTATGGTTTGGCAGGGTGCGTGGGTTGGTGGGTGGGCACCTTTTTTGTTTTCTTTTTCTTTTTGAAGTCGTTCATGTAGTCAGAAAGCATTGCTACTGCTGCTGCTGCTACTGCTTCTTGTTGTTGGTTGGGGCATTTACTGCTGATTGTTGGCAGAAACGAACCTCCCAAGAGGATGATCACCATTCATCCTCCGTCGAGAGGGCTGTTCTAGGGCTGGGACTATCGGTTTGTTGAGTCGGCCTGCATCTTCATCTCGTTCTTTACGTTCAGCGACGATATCTCTCAACCTCCTATACGTCGTCGCGATGATTTGGTTCGTCGGCATCAAACAATGACCTTGTCGAGGTTTCAGTTACGAGATATCCTGGTTCTGCGTAAAATGGGCATAGTTGGGCCGGCATGAAGAGACCCTGAATGGTAGGCGTTTCGTGCTCTCACTGGACTACCTAGACTGACTTTCTAGGGTTGGAAGATCGTCCAGCGGAACGGGAATAATGCATACCCTGGGCTACCACTCGAGGGGGCCACCGATTTCTGGTTCGAATGGGTTCCGATCATAAGAAAAAGGCTGAGGGGTGGAATTGGGGGCAGGACCTCTCCCTGGTGATGAGCGATCATCATCTTCTACGGACTTGAAACTGACACCAAGGCGGGGCCACGCCGAAGAGGTTTCGTCGTTGCGACATCTCGATGAACGAAGAACACAACCAACTCAATCACCCAATGCCGTCCGCTCCCCCAACAGATGGACTGGTACCTCCGAAAAGGAATGCAACAATTGTGTGGGTTTTCTCTGAGGAAAGATTACTACTTGTACACTGCGTCGTGTGTCCTGTCCTGCATAGCGTATCTGATCTGAGCGAGGATATACCCGTTTGCATGCATGGACATACCTCTAAAGCATATCATGAAGGGCTACCACCTACGCCCTCACGCAAATCCTAATGAGACTGCCTGAAAAAGCCAAAAACAATTACGAACCAACGTTCATCTTGAACTGGCATAGTTGGAATACGGTAGAAGCGAGCCACCAAAGCTACATGTGCGGCAAGTATTCTTCCCCAGTAGATCAAAAGGTCTGGCAAGGAACATTCGACGAGGGCTGAATAGCACAAGGAGATATTCATGGCTTTCTTCCGGGTTGAAGTAAACCTGGATGTGCAGTGTTTGTTATTGAAGAAATGAAAACTAAACAACTTCTGTAGTATTTTACAAATCTCCATCTTTCTGTCGCGATCACTTCATATGAACCCTAGCTTCAGTCCGATTATTACCAAGATCGTTGAATGTTGGGAATGCCACGTCGACGATAGCGTGCATTTTCACCACACCATGCACCTACCCTCTGCTAGATTTCTTCATTGCAGTTGTGATGGATGGGGAAGATCCATCATCCGACAAGCACAGTTCGCCTTCACTAACCTGGACAAACTCTCCCGAGTCTCAGCGTTCAAGAGATCCGACTCTCTTGTGCCTTCACAAACCGAGCTGCGGATATGCCAGTGCCGAGACCGACCAGGGAAAGTCCTGGATTCATTCGCCTCTGCGGAAATGGACTCCCAGTATTTCAAGTCGACTTCACAGACAGTGATAGGTTCTCTGTCCGTGCACAAGGCTTGCGCCGGTGGACTGTTCCGGGCGTGCAATTTCTCTGAGAGGGTGAAAACATTCTATGTTCCGCCTATCTGCATATTACACTTAAAAATGACATCAAGATCTTTATCAACGTCGTGTGGACTGACCATGTGGGTCCGTGAGAGAATCGAATATCGCTCGCTCATTTAACCGCCGGTGGACTGTCTCCAGACCCTTGGAAGTGCAAGCAACGGCTGTATACTGACGCCGTATCTTTCTACAACCTCTACTGTAACTAATAACCTCGCCGACTATGAAACACGAAGCATGGAAATGAGGTGTTGTTACGCGACATGAGTGACCTACTCCATCCCTAAGAGGGTTTTCGCTACCCAGTCTGCTTACCCTTAACGCCGAAGGTAATTCCCAGCTCCACCTACGTACGGTCGCAAATGGGCATGCTAGGTCAGTTCCAAATGTAGATGTGCTCGATAAGCCAGAGTGACCTTAACATCGTGAGAATTCTAGCAAGCGCACGTCAGCATCGTGGAATATGAACGTGCATACGGAGTATATCTACCTGGAATCGTCAGTCAAAGCGGCGGAGGCTTCTAGGACTATCGACCTAGTCAACCCTGAGCCCAGATTACGAGCAATGCCAACCCGAAGATTCCCGATGGGCAAAGCATCTCCTGATGCGAAGAGAATGCGAAGGTCCGACGATCGGTTTCAATTTGTGAAAGTACAGCTATTATCAGTGTTCATGTTATGTTCTCTCTCGTACAACAGTGCCTGCCAGCCCCTAAACACCACTGAAGAAATTCACTGCGTCCGACTGGAAGTATACACGGTCTATAAACGTAAATAAATTATCTAGACTAGACTAGCCTTCCCACGATGTAGGAGCCAGACGGGACAAGTCACCACGTGCGAGAATTATACACAGTACCGAGTTGGACATAAAATGTCGACGCGAAAGCCCATAGGGGGAAGTTTGCCCCTTCTCACCGTGGCGAAGTCTGGGCGAAACAATCGGCTTTCGGCTCGCTTAGAGCCTGGGGCAAGTGCCGGATTAATTTCCCGTGCGCAGATAGAAACTAAATCAGTTCCGTCCGAGAATTCACGCAGGCTTGCATCTCACAGAGAAACACGCCTGGCGTCTAGATTTCCTCCAACGCCAACGTCCTCTCCGTGTGAGGGCCACTTCTCGGGTTCCAAATGGAACGCACTTGGCACGATATATGTTTAGGGCAAGGCAATCTGAACCGGGAAAGCGTTTAGACTTTGTCGGTTGAGAATTTACCGAGGGAGGACCCATATTTTATATTCTAGCCCTATTGGATGACCCGGAGATGGAATCCAGCTATCAATCCGTTCCCTCAGGTCTGAGTGGCTGCTGGAATTTATTTCGACAAAACGTATTTGCAAACCAATTCTAGAATAGAGTTAAAATGCATTCTTATCTTGCCAAGAGGCCCCACAGAGATGCAGCGACGTCGGATTGCCGAGTTCGCATCCCTAAGACATCCGTAAAGTTCCATTTGAAAATTCCGAGACGACTCGGAGGCTGTCCTCGTCGTGGCATCGCGGAGTCGTAGCAGTAGTAGCTAACCGAGTTTGACAGAAGCTGTCTCTTAGCTTACTCCCCAGGCAATTAAATGTGGTCTTATCTCCCCCTGTTCCCTTCTTTCTTATCTTTGAATCACACCCAGTTGAGTAAGGGTGAGCGATTCAATGACGTGCAGCATCATGAAGCCGTATCTCCCTGAATACGAGGGGCATGAGCCGCAAAGTGGTTTGACCCCTGCGATTGCTCCATTCGCCGGACGACTAGGGGGGAACCAGGATTTTGTAGTAGATCGCAGTGATCCGCGCAATGATAAGGTCCTGGAGAAGGTGCCTGACGCGGCACCATGGATGACGCTGAGCGAAATCTTTGACCTCCGCGGGTTTTTAAGTTTGGATCTGTGGAAGTTTGCTTGTCTGGAATGCATCGGTGCGTTGAATGTTATCTTGGACCCTTGCAACTAGTGAGCATGGACTAATTTGGGGGTCCCATGGCAGCCAGCATGATGAATGTCTTTATCTCCGCATGGGTCACTCTGCATCCTCCCGCCGCCGTTGAAGCCCCGAAGACCGAAGTTGGGATTTACCATACGCTGACCTTCTTTTCGCCCTTGTTCGGGGGCATCACGAATCTCCTGCTGACGCCATTGCTCATTTATACTTTTGCGCCATCCAGTGGCGGCCACATCAGTCCCACCATCACTCTAGCCACGTTGTTCGCGCGGATTATCTCGTTCCCTCGGGCCATCTTATATCTGGCCGGCCAGACCCTTGGGGGCGCGCTAGCGGGATTCGCCATTCATACGGCCTACGGATCCCGGGAATTCACCGTCGGAGGTTGCCATGTGGACACCTCCTTGGTGCCGGTCAACGCCGCCCTCATTATCGAATTCTTTGCTTGCTTAGTGTTGATCTTTCTCGCGTTTGGCGTAGCGCTGGATCCTCGCCAGGCGAAGATCTTTGGGCATGCCGCGGGGCCATGGTTAGTTGGTGTCGTTCTGGGAGTGGTCTGTTGGGCAACGGCCTTCACGCGCCCGGGTTATATTGGAGCTAGTAAGCTGAACCCCAGAGGATCCCAAAGGCAAGGATAGCGCTAACATGTTGATCAGGTCTCAACCCAGCACGTTGTTTTGGCGTTTATGTCGCATCGGAGTTCCCCGGTTATCATTGGGTTCATTGGGTATGTTCCACTCCGGCTATATTCATTAGTCTCTTGATACTGATATGGAATTTGCAGGTGGCTCCTCTCGCTGCGGCCGTAGCCCATGGTCTTGTGTATCTTATTGATCCTCTCTGGAGTGATCCCCGTTAATATGTATAATATAATCTTGTATATAGTACTAAGCACTTCCACTACCACTTTTCCTTTTTTTTTTTTTTTTTTTTCCCGGGGTAAAATCAGACAAATCCGGGGTTGTAGCGGTGCACCTAATAAGTCAACTGTACCTGGTGTGTTTCGAATCCTCAAATCGATCCTCAAGTTGCCTACTAACCTGATGTTCTAGACTCAATATATATTCAGGTCACCTGTTGGGTTTCTTGGCTTGGAATATTTCCCGCAGGCTCGTGACTTCTTTTTTCTTCCCTCTTGGGTCAATCGACAGGGCAAACATGCCAGAGGAACAGACTCAACTGAATCGTTCGCCTAGGATTCGAGAGATAGGCCAACCTTCTGCAAGAAATCCAGCAGATTCCTAGATTCTTTTTTTAGATTAGAGCCTAATGCCAAGAAAGAAATGGGGTCCTCATTCGTCAACCCCAGTCTCCCAAGTGGATCCATTCGAGGCTTGGAGAGGATAGGATACGAGTACGAGCATCAAAGCCACACGGCAGCCTATTCAACAGGAACTTCCTTCTGTTCGCATATCTCGTTGTTGTAGTGTAACTATTGCGCATCTCACTCAATATCACGTATATGCAAAAAACATTTGGGACTGGTTTTTAGCAAGTTGTTACGGCTTGCGGTGGAGGAATAATTAATCCAAAAGCTGCATTGCGATGTCATCCGCTACCATTCCAAACATACCAGGGACCGATTGCCCGTTAGAAGACAACCCCCCCAGCTACTCTGCTGCGACTCAATCCACCGAGCCTCCGCCTGGACTACTTGTGCCCGGATCCGGGGTATATACTACCGTCGGACGAAGTCGATACCATGGCTCCACATCCTCCCTAGCCCTGAGCCACTCTGATAGACACACCAACGAAGGGAAACGCAGACTACTCCTGATCTACATTCATGGATTCATTGGATCCGAAGATAGCTTCCATCACTTTCCCAAACATGTTCATGATCTTTTAACCATATCGCTAAGTAAGACCCACGTGGTTTATACGAAGATCTATCCTCGGTATAAGACTCGAGGACCGGTGCATATAGCCCGAGACAATTTTAGCCAATGGTAAGATAACCTGGAAAGTACATTTAACTTTATTGGAGAAATACTGAACGTGCCCAGGCTTTTGCCGCATGAAGCTCCAGATTTAGATGTTATTCTCTTGGGTCACAGTCTGGGAGGCATCGTCGCCGCAGAGGCTGCACTGATGCCAACACAGTCGGTGACTGGGCGTGTGACGGACAAGGAACTTAACCATCGAATATTGGGACTTGTCAACTTTGATGTGCCTTTCTTTGGGCTTCATCCTCGCGTCGTGACCACCGGAATTGGAAGACTCTTCCGCCACAAACCGGACGAAACAAGCGACACCACCGATTCAGTTACGTCGATGAACGAGGGCATCAGTAGTCCAGACACAACATTCAACCCAGCCTTCCAGAATGATGTGAAACTAACGCGATGGACTGGCTGGGATGGTGCATGGCATTTTATTTCGAAGTATTCACATCACTTATCGAGGTCCATTCTACAGTATGCCTATTCGTATTATGACCACGCCGGATGTATGAATAACTACCCTGAGCTGTTCAAAAGGCATAAGCGATTGATGAAACTGGAGGCCATCGATGAGCTTAACCAGGAGCAGTTGGCACAGAGCCGAGGTGCTGCACGAGTCCGATTCGTGAATTACTTCACTAAGAGTACGGGGATAGTGCGAGCAGATCGGATGGACAGGTCACCCGGAGCACACATAGTCACGGATGAGAGCCGACATGAGTCGGATTACCAGCAAAGCTTGGAGAATGCAACGAATATGCTTGAAGTGGACTATGCACACGACCATTCCCGGAGGAAATCGGCGCCACCTTGCTCAGTTGATGCCGCTGGATTGCTAGAGAACAAGAATGTCATGCGTCCTAGATCAAGCGGTGCACAGCATTCATCATTACAGTCAAAGTCCTCTGTAGCGGCAGTTGAGGGAAGCACCGGATGGGATGGCCAAGATGAGAACACTAAAGTAGGCTGTGAGAGTTCTAATCAGTCCCAGGAAGCTCGGCGACAGTTCTGCTACCTTCCGAAAGATGCATACCGCGGCAGAGAGCACCTGTGGATTCCAGTGCATATGGAGGGCATCGATGAGATCACGGCTCACCAGTCAATGTTTCTTCCGCAGGGTACATACTATGACAAGCTTGTTGGAGATACGGTGGCGCTCATTGAAAGCTGGATAAGCGACGATCTGACGAAACGAGCTATTTTGAACGGTGATTACAGTAAATAGACTTGCTCTGAAGTTATAGTCAGCTATTGTTAGATACCCCTATGCGATTGATACCTTTCTAATCCGACTCCCCGTCCTCTTTATTGTTTCTCTCCTTTTTTCCTCCCTTGTTTTAACTCGCGATGTGTATATGGCACCTCTCGACGTAGTGTTTAAGTCGTGGAACCCCAGGAGATAGACCAAAAAATAAGCATTATTGCGGCGACTGGAAATGTGACAAGAGGAGGATGATCATTCCAGGTTCGCTTCACCTCATAAGAACAGTAACTACGTTTCAAAATCCAAACAAGAATCGTATAATCAGGTCTGGGTAGGTGGAGCAGCACCCTCGGCAAAAACATCATTGACTCCTGTCACCACTCCAAGATTGCCGTCCCGATTAACTCCCAGCCATTCCCGGAGCTGCGGACTCAGGGTCTTCTTCGTTTCCTCCGACAGCCCAACACCCCAGTTCACTTGACCTCTCAAGAAGGGGGCATTGTAAGCCCCGAACAAAAGCGCCCGCTCTTTATCCTGAGTGACATTGCAGCCAGACGTGTGCCAGAGACGCCCATCCATCACGATGATTGACCCAGCCTTGGCCTCAAATGGTACTAGGAGCTTCCTCGCCTCCTCCTCAGGGGGCACCTCTGCCTTAGTCTTCCAGTGGTGACTACCAGGGATGTATAAGGTGGCACCGTTCTCGTAGTAAACATCATGCAGACACCAGATCACGTTCAAACCCCAAGTCGACAACCAAGGATCGGGGCACTGTAGGGAGAGATCGGAGTGTAGACCCATTGACTTCGATCCGGGAAGTGCGATGTTCGCTGTGAAGTTGGAGACAAGGAAGTTTTGACCCAATGCGGATTGAACCATCTCCACAGCGACAGGATGCGAGATGAGCTCGCGGAAGATCGGGTCCAGTTCCATCAGGTAGAATATACGGATATTGCTGGAGTTGGGGTCTAGCCAGTCCAGGTAAGTTGGATCGCCTCGCCGTTCACTCTCTTCCTTCGCCTTCCAAAGGCGATCGACGACCTGCTTTGTTTTCTCGGTATCGATCACATCGGGGACGACGGCCCATCCATCCTGCTTGAATTTGGCCTTGGCTTCTGCAAGCTGTTGGGCACTCACGGCACTGGTCGCCATGACATATGTGATAATGATGGGGTTAAGGACTTGTGGGAAAAAGGAAAATGAGGCTTGAATCTTACAGGGAAAGGAAAACGGCCAAGGATGAAGTAGTTATGGGTAGTAGGAATAATTAACAGCGTGACTATGCGTTGAACATAGCATGCATCCCGTTCAAATGCCGATAGTGCTAGTCATGAGCTATGCCTAAAGATAAGCCAAGACGGTTGCTACCCTGTACTAGTATTGAGTGGAGAGAGAAGAGGGGTCAAGCGTTTCAAAAACATGGCATTAAAGCTTTAGTTAATGATCTTGGGAATGTGACAAATACGTCCGCATGCATAAGGTGGAACCACATTCCTTTGAGAATGATTGGACGTCTATCGTGTAGCTGTCCTAATAAAGCCTCCTCCAAGTCCAGGGGCATGACTAGGCCCATACCCGACACTGTCACTTACATGCCAAGTTATTAGAAACTGGTTTGTGTCTGCCGCACCGTCAAATCATCTCGGGGATCGTTCGGCTTGTGGGGATGGCATGCAATAAGGTGCATAGAGGGAGTGGCCGGACATTATCCGTTCGTTGACCAGAGCCAATCGTCCAGAGCATGAAGTATCCAATTCTGTTTAGACTCCTCTACGGTTGAAGATACACTGATGGAGCCCAAGTCCATACATGAGTTAGACTTAAGAGTATAAATCTTAATAACACCCCATGACTAGAGGCTGACTTTGTTGAACATCCCAGCCTCGCCAAACGTTACTAGGATGCATCCTTACAACGGTGGCGGCCAAGGCTGCGGGGAGAAGATTTAGTGACAGGGAATTATGGATTCAGTGAGGCTGACGATGGTCTAGTGCATCCTTTTTGGAACATTGATACGATAGCCGGTGGACCTTGGGTGGATTTGCAGCCTTATCAGACCATATTAAGCTCCACCTCGCCTGGGATCATGATCCTCCAATACAGTATTTTTGTATGTGAACTAAGTGGCTTTCATGTAATACTATTAGATAGGTCACAGATGGCTGTGGATGATCAGTGAGGTGGCCACCTACGGGGCTCGGTCTTTCTTGTCCAGGTAGGGTTCATGCTTGAGAGACAATATCCAAGAAAAGCTAGGCCGCTGAATAGGCAACGTCTCGGCAAGTATAGTGTTTCTGTATCATTTGGAAGCATCTTCACTAAAGACCGTTTATAGTGTCCATTGCACCAGTTTGTTTGTCTTTGATATACCCCCTAAACGATTGGTCCGCTCATTCGCCGTTCAGGAAGACGGGATCAGCCGTCACTTAAAATACTATGTAGATACATGGGTGTGCAGATCGTCTCCCACAGAAGTTAGCCAGCCGTTGGAAATCTCTGTTCCGTCTTCTCAGGACGGCAAAGCTCCGAGTCTGCTATTGTGGCACGCCAGGGGAGGCCGGATGAGGCCCGCGAATATCCCGTGTGGACCCTATCTAGGGAACAACTCCAATGAAAATAACACACCAAGTGGGGTTTGTGGATGAAGTTGAGAATGTCGACAAAAGTCAATGACAGAAATAAAAATCCCCACAGCATCGTTTCTTACGATAGTACTCCTTTTATCGTTCCTTTGCCATAGTTGACCAAGTTGCACTGTGGCAAGCTGGCCTCACAACCGGACTTAGGACATCTCGGCTTTCAGATCGCTTCTCTGCGGATGGTAACTCACCAGAGGATGTATGATATATGATCAAGTTGATTCTATCACAGCATTACGAAGACTTGGACCCAAATCTGAGGTTTGGGTTCGATCCCAGAGGCTTGGAACGCACCGACATACATACATACAGTATGAAGTAGTGAACACCCTCCGTTCGCGTCGTAATGCCTTTGGCTTCCTTTCATTCCCAAGCCATTATTGAACATATAATTCAATCGAAAAGAGGGCTATCGTAAAGTACGTACGCGCCTTTACCCCCGAGATGTGCCGGATCTGTGTCTCGCAATTTAGGAGCCGTCTTTTGTTCATTATTATGTGATCTAAAACCCTTCGGTAGTGGACTTTGGAGCAGTAAGCGTCAGAATATTTTGAGACCAGTCCTCTCGCTGGTAGTTCACCTCCGTTGAATTCCTTGGGCGAGGCATAGTGGGCATAGAGACTGTTACTACCCTATCAAAATAGAGGCAACAAAAGCCTCAGTAAATACGCTAGGTGAAACTGAGGTACTTTTTAAAAGGGGCATTTGCACGCTAAAGCTTTTGACAGGACGGTACAGTCAACCAAGCCCGAGAAGCTCCACTTCATCGATGATCCAACCCTAGTTGGTCCACTCTCCTATGCAGGATCAAATGCCGACAGGATGTGAAAAATGAGCGGGAAACGAGGAGAGAAAATGAAGCCAAGCGAGCAAAAGAAGCAAAGAGAGACCCATGGTTGTTCAACATTATATCTGAGGGTGCGACCCATGGGGGCTTCCTGGTGGTAAGACCTTGATGGAATGGGGATCAACGAGAACTTGCAGCCCGTAACATGGGCAGTGTCGATGCCATTCGTAGTCATCACCAGCTTGTCCTGTATCCTTCGAATATACTCTCGGCTTTGCCTCTCCAAATCGTTCGGCACCGATGACTGGTTTATGGTAGCTGCGAGTGTTAGTTCTCTTCCTTTTATTTCAAGACTGAGCGCTGACGGTAGTAGATAACATGGCTCGCCACTCAAGGCATCTTGGGGCAGATGATCATGTTCGGGGGAGGAAAGTAAGTCCATCGTTCTAGAGAGCAATTGTTTGCCATACTCACAATCCCTCTCGGTATGATAGACAGGATAAAGACGTTCCACCTGAAAACTTGCTAAAGATTGTGACTGTAAGTCGCCCCCAATTGGCCGTATGTCCCATTCGCTTACCCATCTGAAAGCTTCTCTTCGTCATTGAATTCGTGTATATCTTCTGCCAATGGCTGATCAAGATGTCCTTCTTGACCTTCTATCTTCGGGTATTGAGCATCTCGCCCTTGTACAAAAAGACCGTATATGGAGTGATGGCCTTTACATCGGCGCAGACTATAGCTGTTCTGCTTTTTTACGGTCTGCAATGTCTTCCGTTGGATGCCTTCTTCCATCCGGAGGCTCATCCGAATGCAAAGTGTATTCCCACGGCGGTGACGCTGTACTTTCCTGCAAGCATGGTGAGCCGAAGGATATCCGTATAAGTTGCCTGCCGGTCTCCGAGTTCTGATAGCATCGCACCTCTTAGAACGTCTTAACCGATCTCCTCATCTACATTCTGCCGATTTATCCCCTATGGACTCTACAGATGTCTGCACGACGACGAGTGGGACTGATTGTCTGTTTTACTGTCGGTGGGGGCACTATTCTGGTGTCCCTTCTCCGCTTCATCGTGCTTGTGCAGCTGGCCAGCGGCTCCAGAACCTTTTACGTCTACGGCTCCGTTGCCATCGTCACAACAATTGAGCTTTGCACGGCGATCATGACAGCCAATATGCCCTCCCTCCGATCGGTCTGGAGGACACATGTTTCGGGAACCTTGTACGGCTCGAGCGGTCGGAAGCCATCTTCGTACGAACTCGGAACGACTTCAAAAGCCCGCGGAAATCGGAAGATAATCAAAAGCAGCATTGTGCAGAGACTGAAACAAGGCGCTACCAACGTTTCACACGCCGACTCGGAGGAGGAGCTTTGCCGCAATGGTGGGGACATTGTTGTCAGCACCCAGGTCAATGTGAGCAGTGTAGCCGATCCCAGTGTGAATAGTCCGCGATTACCGCCCTCATACTACAAGCTCAGGTAGACTTGATAGCGGCTAATACAATGGTGCTATTTTGGGCGATAGATAGTAAGAGGCACCCAGACCGGGCAACTGGAGGTCTTAAGGGAACCCGGACCTCTAACCTGCAGCAATCGGACTGTTCTGCTCAGCGATGTACCATGCATAATGGGTTCAATTGGCCACTGTAATACCCTTGAAACAGCCCTTGTGGGCGTTTCCGATGCTTCAAAGGTTTGCCAACAAACATTGAGAACTGTGTGGACGTAGGTTACAGCGATCAAGGTCGAAATGACATAGCCTCAGATGCGGCGTCTTGGTGATTAACGATCGGGTATATATGTCCGGAGACTCCTGATTCTTCAAGGGTTGCATTCCTACTATGGATGCGTTCGGACAAAAGTGATCGTCGCATGTATCGGTTAATAGGAAAAAGGGCTATCCGAGGGTCAATGCAACCTCCTCTGTCTCCGCACTTTAAAGAGGGAATTGAAATCCTGTCGAGTACAATCAAATCAATCAGATGATGTGATATTGATCAGGGTTACAGCGAGATGTCTCACTATATCTGCCCCTGAATCAAATCATGTCCACCAATCGGCGAATCTGCATATCAGCGGGATGTGAAGCCGAAGTGCGCTTATGCAGGCCGGACACTGGCTTCATTTCCCCTCAGGAAAACTACCCCAATTGAACCCAGCCATGATGTCAAGTGCGGCCTGGGGGACCCATTCAAACCCCCATCGTCAGGGAAGGTATATTTGAATGTGGCATGCGCTCCAAGCGATGGAGGTAAAAATGCCCACTTCGTCGCCATCTGCGCAATGGGGTTGTTACGATTTTATACGTCGTTGGCACTGATCTCTGCCTCGGCCTTCCTCGTCCGGGGTCAGAGTGATGATTTAGGCCTAGCGAATGGCTATACTAATCTGAAGACCGATAACTTCGACCTCCAGCTTGTTACGGACGCCCAGATCCTGGCATCGCTGAAGCCATCCGGGTCATCATTCGACTTCTTACCGTCGGATTACTTGCCATACCGAGCCGCCAACGGTCAGTACCATATCGGAGACATCACCTTCCGGTATCGCGCGGTGGGGGATAAAGAATGGACCGCCGGTGATTCTTCACAGGCTCGAGCCGCTGTAAAGTCGCTTGACGCCAATGCGCTCGCCGCGGCCGATATAACCTCAACTTTGCCTAGCAGCTCGGCTCTACAAATTGTTCGCCAATGGTTGGACGTCGATGGAGACTTGGGGCTGAGCTTCACCCTCACGAACAAGGGCAACAGTAGCGTAGAAATCGGCAGCCTCGGCTTCCCGATTGAGTCCAACAGTATCTTTACCAATCGCACGGCGGATGAAGTTACAGCGCAATGCTCCCTCGTGGATCCTTATATCGGACTGGATGCTGGCTATCTACAATTTACTCCAACTTCCGGACAGGGTTCAGCCTTGATTATCACCCCGTTGGTCAATACGAGTACCCCGTTCGAAGCCTGGCGCAACCTCGACGAGGCATCTGACCAGTACACTGGGTACGGTAGCCAGACATTCGAAGGGTTCTATGAGTGGCAGACTCATTCCAAGGCATATGCTGAGAAGGAATGGGCGGAGGTGAATCCATGGAATGAACCAAGCGCGCGCAGCCTCAAACCCGGCGAATCCACCACGGTGGGCCTTCGCTTCTCCGTGGTCAAGGATGGAGTGCGCGGGATTCAGAAGGCTGTCCAGGGGACAAACACCCCCTTGACGATAGGAACCGGATACGTCGTTCCCCGCGATCTGACGGCGCAGTTATTCATCTTTCACTCGGCCAATGTCTCCAAGATCGTATCCGACAACAATGCCTTCGACGTTGCCCGCCCTTCATCCAACTCGGTTTCCCTGTCCCCCACTGAATCAGCCTGGGGACGGACCAAAGTGACCATCTCCTACGCGGACGGAAAAGTCCAGACAGTCCATTACTGGATCACGGACACGGCCCCGGATGTGATCTCCAAGTTGGGTGAATTCTCCACTACTGCCATGTGGTTTGATGACGAGACGGACCCCTTTGGTCGGGCACCCTCTGTGATCACGTATGACGCGGCCACCAAAGCACAAGTTCTTCAAGAGGCGCGTGTTTGGATTGCGGGACTGATGGACGAAGGCGGCGCCATATTCCTCGCTTCCACGATGAAAGAGCACGGTCTTCCCAACGCGGCGGAGGTCGCGAAGCTGGAAGAATTTGCGTCCAAAGTGCTTTTCGGCACCATTCAAAACACCGATTTTACGGTTCGTAAGAGCGTCTTCTACTATGACCGGGATCAACTGCCGGATTATGAGTACAGCAGCAGTATCGACTGGGGAAACTGGTGGTCTTGGAATAAGGAAGCTTCATACGCTACCGATCGTGCGTATGACTATATTCACGTTATTGGAGCATACTGGTCATTGTATCGCGCCGGCCGTGACAACCCGGCGCTTCTCCAGGTACACCCGTGGCAGTGGTACCTGGGCCAGGCGTACAATACGACCGTAACGTGCTTTGCAACAAACTCGGCCGGGGACGGCCTGGTGGGTTACTCGCGCCTGGGCCTCATGGGAGAGACCGTTGTCGGAGAGCTCCTGGAAGACCTGCAACGTGAGGGCTGGACGGAAGAGGCGGATGCGGTAGAGGCAGCCATGAAACTACGCGCCGAAGCGTGGGACTTGCAACCAGAACCCTTTGGAAGTGAAATGGCGTGGGATTGCACGGGCCAGGAGGGTGTCTATTACTGGAGCAAGTAAGTCGTTCTTTCTCCCTCTAGTTTGCGCAGGAATTCCTCGCGGCATCTTCTTGCCCGGAAACTAACACTGGCGACGAGCAAAGCTATTTCAATCTCACGCAAACAAGGACGAAGACCGTCAATAACATTTTGGGCCTTATGCCGACGGTATCGCATTGGGGCTGGAATGGGAACGCCCGGCGTTACTGGGACTTCATGTAAGACTCGGTTCTCCCATCCGTCGTGCCATTACTAAAATCCTTTAGCTATGCCGGGAAGCTTCAGCGCATTGAACGCATGATCCATCACTATGGTTCCAGCCTCAACGCGTTACCCCTTCTCGCTGAGTTTCGACAAAACCCGACCGATACGTATCTTCTCCGAGTTGGGTACGGCGGAATCACCGGCCCATTAAGCAATATTCGGGAGGACGGCTCGATGTACAACGCATTCCACTCCTTTCCCGACACCCTCAAGGGCGACGATTATTCCGGAGACTACGGTCCGAGCTTCCTTGGAATGATGCTGGGTGCGGGTACATACGTCGTGGAGGACCCTGACGTCGGCCTCATAGCATACGGCGGCAATCTGTCCATGGAGAGCGAGATGGTGACTGTGCAACCGCGTGACGCCGTCCGGCGACGTGTCTACGTTGCGTCAATGGGCGTCTACGTCACGATAAGTGCCGGCCAAATCGAAGAGTTCTCGTTTTCCACAACTCAGCCAAACTCAGTGGAACTGAACATTGTGGCAGAGACATCCAATGCGACCACGGCGATTGTATGGGTTGAGAATCCTGGCACAAAAGACGTGTATGCAGTAACGACCAGCGGGGAACAGACGAGGGGAGGTGTGGCGGTTGAGCTATCGGGGGGCTCCGTGACGGTCACAGTGGCCAGGCAGTAGATCTAACCGAGAGGTTTGCTGTGTTGTAAGCCTTATAAGATAATGAATGAATAGCACGGTCAAGTAGCTTTGGAGAACAATCGCACTGGATAACCTCCTCTCCCATCTATCGCTGTGCGCATATGTTGGGTCTCGTGGCTCTATGCCCAGCATTGGCCATACGATCATAGTAACACTAACAGCGAGTCCCTAACGACAGCAATCGATAGCTCGGGGACGGAGTAGGCGGCCGGAATTCCTGGTGAAGTGTTATCGGAGCCTCATCACTGTCGCGGTCCGTGAGCGCTGAAGACGAAGCATCCATTGCCTTCGGTGGAATGTCGGCGCTTCTGAAATTGCTTTCTGCCTAAGGCAGCAACCACGTGCCACTTGTCGTTGCCACAAACAAAAAAGTAGATAGCAAAGGAAACACAAGTTTATTTACTAGTTATGGCTTTACCATAGTCTGTGTCCCAGATACGACTCTTGGAGAAGCGCAATTGACTTGTTACAGCATCCAAACGTATGAAGGAGTCCTTCAGAAAATACTATACTCGGATGTATATTTTGCAGGACAATGCCAGAGTGCTCCCAGGAGTGTTTTTAACGGTATGCGGAATGGATTGAAGCATTCCTCACCCTTGGTAGCTGTTCCATCAGCTTGAATTTCATAAATCGCTGCTCCTACTTAACCCTCATGATGGTCACTTTTGACTTACATCCGATATCACACCAGGGAGAAATCTCTCGAGGATTTTATTGGTGGATTTGGAAAAGGCCGAACCCCAGAGATGGAAATTGAGACTTGCAGAGGCATGTTTCATGACTCGGTTAGGACCTGGCGCTGTCGGTTAATTTGTTCCTCTTCCTCTCCCCTCTCCTCCCCGGAGGTCACTTCGTGGGAAACAAAAGGTGGAAGCTGTATAAAGTTTGGAACTACTGGTCAAAATGTCAGACCAAAGCACGGCTTCTAACGCCTCAAAACAGAATGCTTTCGTTGCTGATCAAGTTGGCGGTTTATGCGGCTACCGTGACAGCACAGGTAGATAGCTCGTCACCGTTCTCGTTTACTGCAAATGGCAACCCAATTTTATCTAATGGGTCGTGGTACTCTGGTGACCCTGCCCCGTTGGTCGTCAATGACACGCTGTATATTATCACGGGACGCGACAGCGCACCTCCGGATGAGAATGCCTTCGTGATGAACCAATGGGGGATGTTCGCCTCATCATCCGCAAAGCCAGAGGGGGGTACATGGACGTTGTATCCCGACGTCGCCGACCCTCGGACAGTGTTTGCGTGGGCCGAATCCGGCAGCGCGTATGCTGCGCAAATTGTCCAGGGTCCTGATAGCCGATTCTACTTTTACGCTCCGGTGACCCAGGCCGATAGCGCCAATGAAGATGCATTTGCGATCGGCGTGGCCGTCTCGGACTCTCCAATGGGCCCTTTCCAGGATGCTCATCCCTCGGGCCCGATCATCTCCCAGTCGGTGCCACCCCCCGGCAACACCATCCAGAACATCGATCCGACCGTGCTGGTCGATGACGATGGACAGGTGTACATCTATTTTGGGACTTTTGGGCAGCTGCTTGGCTATCAACTCGACCCGGATATGGTTACAGTGACATCGAATGTGACGCAAGTGACCAGTCTGACGGGTTACTTTGAGGCGCCCTGGTTGATGAAGCGGCAGGATGTGTACTACATGCTGTTCGCAGCAAATAATGCCGGGTCTGATTCACCCTGTACGCCAACCTCCTATCACGCCTGTATAGCCTACGGAACGGCGTCGTCTCCAATGGGCCCCTGGACGTTCCAGCATGTAATTCTCCCGATTGTATCCTCCACTACTTCTCATCCGGGGGTGGTCGAGTGGAATGATGAATGGTATCTGGTATACCACACGGCCGACGCCATTGGAGGAGGTCACTTTCGCCGTAGTGTCGCCTTTGATAAGCTCACCTGGGACGATAGTCAAACCCCTGCCAAAATCCATGTTGTGCAACAGACCTTCGGGCCTAAGCCGCCAGTCCCGCCCACTTACAATGTCGCCCCGCAAGCGGTGGCAAGTTCTGGGCACCCGACGCCGATCCAGTACTGGGTACAGGCCTTGAATGATGGAATTATTCGAGAGAACCCTTTACCGCCAGATTACTGGAGCTCCTACGAAGCGACAGACTCCCCTCAAACAAGCACGCTCGTTTATTCCTGGAACGAAGCGGTCCAGCTTAATGGCACATCGATGGTGTTCTTTGCCGACCAAGCTGCTGGAGCTAATGAAGGCGTTGCTCCTCCCCAGGAGTGGTACATTGAGTACAAGGATGCTTCAGGTACATGGCAACGGGCTATGAACACCTCGTCGTATCCCCTCGAAGTAACCGACACGCCCGATGTGGTGCCATTCGAAACGGTGGAGACTGTCTCAATCCGCGCCATCTTAGTTGCGTCTGGTGCCCAGGGACAATATGCCGGTGTTGGTGTGAAAGAATGGGAGGCTTTGTCAACCACCCTGCACTCGTATTGAATACAGCTTGTAGTATATTGAACAGTAGTGTATACAGTCAAGAACATAGTCCAAAACCATTGACCAGTGCTATGCCTTCCGGAGTTTGACGTGAGACCTCTTGCATTCTCATCGTCCAGTACTGTCATTGATGTGTCTTATCCCTTAATAAATGCGTCGTGGGCATGTCATTTAGGTCTGAAGATCTCATTGGTTGAGTAGCTGGAGCACCGGATGCTCCATGATATCCATGAATCCGTCCCTGTGGAGAACGGTTCTCTACTCAGCATATTCGTACCATATTCATCAGGTACGTAAGCGTTTGCAGCAAGCAATAAGGGAAGAGAATTAAAATAAGATGAACTGGACAAGGACCACTGGATGTCGTGGGCATTGTATGAGTTTTGGATAGCCTCAGCCGCTGCTCCTCCAGGTAAGCATTCGTCGGGCACTATGAAGATGGCTAGTGACCCACTCCAGTGGAGCCTTTGGATAAAGTGCACAGGAACAGATCGGAGGATCTCCTCTCAGGATAACATCCACGTATGTTGTGACGACCAGCCGATGTGAGGGCAGGACACGTAGTGTGCGTTCCGTACGATGCAAGAGGCACTGTCATAGTTGCTTGGCAGCACACGCTTATATGAGCGTCCTCCAATAGACTCAAAGACTCCAAGGGGACGGTGGAACTAGAGCTCGCCACGTTCGGAGTCGCAGTCAGCTATGGCATCGGGATATTAAGCCGTGTTTCATCTAGACATACGTAACAACTTGTCGATGCCGTTGGCTCTGCTGAGAGATTCACTAGACTCCTTGAATGAATCACGTCTTTGAGCATACCTCTCTCATCATACTTCATATACAATGTGGATAGATTGATGTCGCCGTTATTAACTATAACAGCGATACCGGGAAAGTCTGCCCCGACAGGGAGATAACAGGGGCGGGCCCGCTCTCTCATTGGAAGAGCGCATATTAAACGGTAGGTTAAGCTTAAAAGATCAAGCCCGAATCAGCTCTAAAATCGATGGATCATCCCACAGCGGAAATTGCATGGTTCCTTTAGGCTTTTACTACATAAACTGGTTGGGGCGGATGTGGACCAGCCCTAAATGGGACTGCGCGGCAGCAAAATTCTCCGACAGTATCCACGATCATCGCAAGACGTAACTCTCTCTGTGACCACGATCGCTGGTGATTCCCCGGCAAACATGTTCCTCTGCGACTATGCCAGGATAGAAATCCACTAATTGACTCACCCGCAGGGACTGGTTGTGTTATTCCACCGCCAGGAGAAGTGGTCGAAGCATGAATGTGACCAATTTTTAATTTACGAGTGCTGGAGCTGCCGCGTCATGCAGTTTCCCCTATCGGACAACCTTGGATTCCACCAATAAACCAGCACAATATGTGCCAGAGAAATACCCATCTACTTGAAACCACCATATCAAGCAGTGTGAGCCCCAATGCCGAACCGATATTTTACCGGCTGGCTGTGGTGGAGTTGTCTCACTGATGCTGACGATCACCTACCCAAACCAACATAGACGCCGGAGGGATCGGCAAGGGCTTCACCATGTACAGTAGCCTATCCATTCGAACAGTGATTCGTTCATCCATCCTTCCTTTTAGCTGTTCGAGATTAGCCCTCTATCTCCCCACCCACTATGAGACTCCCTAACAAAGCCGAAACAATCACGGTGCTAGAGAAAACCAGGTATAAGAATGAGCTCTGCTGGTCAGAAAGCCTGCTCGTTCTCCTTCTCAACGCACGCAACCTCACTTCTGTCATTCTTTGCTTTCCTTTGTTTCTGTTCTTGTCACTCTTTCTAATCCCAACGCAAAACTTCCAGGATGAAGTACGCCGCTGTTCTTACGACCGTTGCCGCCCTCGCCTCCCAGGCCTTGGCTGTTGGTGTCTCTGGCACCGCGGAGGGCTTCGCATCTAGCGCTACCGGTGGTGGCAGTGCCACTGCCGTCTACCCTTCTACCACCGATGAGCTGGTCTCCTACCTCGGTGATGATGAGGCCCGTGTGATCGTTCTGAGCAAGACTTTCGACTTCACCAACACTGAGGGTACTACCACGGCCACGGGATGCGCTCCTTGGGGTACTGGCTCCGCCTGCCAGGTGGCCATCAACAAGGATGATTGGTGCACCAACTACGAGTCCAGTGCTCCCTCTGTCTCTGTGACCTAGTAAGTGTGCTACAAGCATGAGATTAAGTATTAGCGTCACACTAACACGCACTAGCGACAACGCCGGCTCTCTTGGTATCACTGTCAACTCCAACAAGTCTCTGATTGGTGAGGGCACCAAGGGTGTCATCAAGGGCAAGGGTCTCCGTATCGTCAATGGTGTTGAGAACGTCATTATCCAGTACGTTGGCATCCGTTATGTTCATACTTCGATAGGTAGCAGATATTGACCGTTTCCAGGAACATTGCAGTCACCGATATCAACCCTAAGTACGTCTGGGGTGGTGACGCCATCACTATTAACCAGGCCGATCTTGTCTGGGTGGACCATGTCACTGTATGCTTTCCAGATGTCGAAGATTTGCGTGGATTGGAATAAGATAACTGACAAAACCTCATAGACTGCTCGGGTTGGTCGCCAGCACTACGTCCTCGGAACTGAGGCCGATAACCGTGTCACCCTCTCCAACAACTACATCGATGGAGAGTCTGACTACTCGGCCACCTGCGACGGCCACCACTACTGGAACGTCTACCTCGACGGCTCCAGTGACAAGGTTACTATGAAGGGTAACTATTTCTACAAGACCAGCGGCCGTGCTCCTAAGGTCCAGGGCAATACCTACCTGCACGCTGTCAACAACTACTGGAACGACAACTCTAACCACGCCTTCGAGATCGGTTCCGGTGGTTACGTTCTTGCTGAGGGTAACACCTTTGCCAGTGTCACCGCCGCAGTCGAGAGCTCCTCCCTCCAGGGTGAGCTCTTCTCCTCCTCCAGCGACGCCGCCACCTGTAGCTCCTACATCGGCCGCGCCTGCAAGGCCAACTCGTTCACCGACTCTGGTGACCTCTCCGGCACCACCGTCGACGTTCTCTCCAAGTTCAAGGGTGAGACCGTTGCCACCGCTGACACTGCCAGCACTGCTCCTGCCTCCAACGCTGGCCAGGGCAAGCTGTAAATGGAAACATTTACCGGGATTTACATTCTTCTAGACATTAGTTGCTGGAAGCGGGGGTGGTAGTGATCGTGTTACACCCGCAAGGGTTGCATGTATTCTACTGTGTAGATTAATGTCTATCTTAGTTTAATTCATACTTTTCTTGACATACATTCGGGTCATAGACAAGCAGTGCTTTTAGAGTGCAGTTGAGCTGGATAGTTTGGACATTTGGGATGAAAGCCTTACGCATGAAGTCCAATTCAACTGTATAAGGTAATATTGGTCACCTTCGGCATGAGGAATTCCGATATGTGATGTGCTTTGCTGGGTAAGGCTATTTGATGAAAACTACACCAAACAACGCTAACCATGGCGCGTTAAGCAGCAAACCCGACCAGGAGACTCGCAAGCGGCATCTCTCCATTATCCCGGCTAATGGGATGTTGTATAAGTTTTGGACGTGTTCTCTATAGACAGGCTGCCAAGACTTGTCAGCTGTGCGGTCTTCATCTGTGTTGCCCGACAGTGAAGTAGCTGAATTCTTGTTGCTTCTCTCCACCGATCTGGCAACGAGATCAGCATACTTCCCTCGGACTCCGTCACGAAGAGGATATTTCGCAAGGGTTCAGAGTTCGACTTGGTGCTACACAGTTAGGCTATGATTTCTGAGCCTCCGAGGGGATCTAGACGATCTCAGGTCATAGTAGATTGCGATTTCTTTTTTATTTAACATAGACTGTGGTTATGAAAAGCGACGGTGGTAAGGAACGGCAGGACATTCATTCCACCATCAGCAATTGCTAGTTGTTAGAGCTCTCTTCGTTCTCCTCATTCTTCTGCCGATTACGGGCCGCATTTCCTTCCAAGCCATATAGAACGTCCGCCGACATATTTGGGATTATCATCTCAAATGTATCTCGAACAACGGTATACTGATAATACCCGCAGCGAGCGATCGGCTGGGTTTTCTTAATATCCAGCAATCCATCGGTGAGTACTTCATCAGCGATGTGAACCCCGATAACCTTTCCAATGACGATATCGACGGTCCCCATGGGTGGGTTTCCTGGCAGTCTAACCGTCGTGTGGTACTCGCATTCGAACTTCACGGGCGACTCCTTCACCATTGGAACATTGACGAGGGTCGCCTGCTCCTTGGTAATGTTGCACAGGTCAAATTCGTCGGTTCCATAGGGGGTCTGTTCGGCCGAGATATTAACCGCTTCACGCAGATCCCAGGTAGCCAGGTTCCAGACAAAGGTTCCAGTTTCTTCAGCGTTCACCACTGTATCCTTGCGCGCGCCAGTCGCAGTCTGGTTGGAAGAAAACATCACGTACGGCGGGTCAAAAGTCAGATTATTGAACTGTGAGTACGGCGCCAGGTTACATTGTCCTTTTTTATTCTTGGTGGAAATCCACCCAATGGGACGAGGGACCACGCAAGCCTAGAGGAGAATCAACGTCAGTCTTGATCATCTCGGTCTATCACTAGGTATTCTGTTTTTTTTTTTTTTTTTATACCTTGAAAGGATCATGAGGGAGACCATGCTCAGTGACACCGGGTTCGTAAAACATGCTTCTGCAGAGATAATGGAAGGAATATAAAACCGTCGAGTGATCGATTTGGTGCGGGGAAACTTATTTGAGTCAAAGGACACTGTTCTGCTGCATACGCTGAGGTCAACACGATATGGCATATAGACACAATGATCGACGGTTCTTATAAGCTTCATCTAACGGATCTTCACGGATAAAGCGGCAAAGGAGGACTTCATTAGTACTCCCTAGAGCGCTGCCTGCCACGACATTTGCGATGTATGGTGGAGTAACCGTAGAGTATGCATCGCCTTGGGGCTTCGGGGTGATCGCCGAGCGTCCGAGATCCGAGCCACCGAGTGCATTTGTCCAGCCACCGCAGTTAACCTTTACTGGTTGTGGTTCAAGAAAACTTCAGAGAAATAGTAATGTGATATTCGCGACGGCAATATGCAAACAACTCCTGGTATATCGCAATGAATCTATGCCCAATCAAACCCCGAAAAGCAAATTCTATCATACAAACCAAAGGTCTAGTCGTCTATAACTCTATGCAAATCCCGGCAGACTCATCTTGTGAACATAGTCCTCCATGAGCTTGTCCTCCTGGTCAATGAAGGGCTCGACAATGGTCAATCCCCGATCAATCTCCGCCTTCAAACGGTCCCACTCATCGGACTTGCCATCGGCAGTCTCCTGTCGTTGAACGGCAGCACCGTTGGCATGTCCATTTTCCACACCGGTCGCGTGTCCGTTGGCCACACTCGTGTCCAGCAGAGGAGTGTATCCCGCAGCTTCGAACGCATCCTTAGGAGGAACCGTGTACCGACCCTTCTTGAGCACGTATTTACTGATCGACACCGCAAGCAGCCTCTTTTTCTGGGCCTCACTCTCGTCCTGGCCCTTCTTCGATGATCCCTTGCCCGGCTTGAGGAAGTAGGTGATAATATAGATCCACTTCTGGTCGAAACTGGCAACATGCGACTTCACCTCATACTTCATGTAGGCCGGGATCTCTCTCTTGAAGTTGGTGTAGACGCTGCCAAGGATGAATCCCAACGGACCCTTCTTTCCTTCCGATTTCAAATTCTTCTCCAAGAGCGCCGCCCCTTTCACCACAATGCTCGACATCAGAGCGGTACGGGAGACATCGAGGTCGGAGAAATAAGTAGAGTTGGACTTGTGCATGTTGAAGTCGAGTTCCATGATGGGCGCGCGGGAGAAGATGCTGACGGGTTTCAGGAGCTCGGTCGAGGGACGAGGGGGTTGTTCGACGGCTGGCGTGATGAGGTAGCCATGTTTGAAGAAGTACCGGTACACCCGGATCTAGCGTGCTGTCAGTGAACCTGGTTCAATTGAGCCAAATGAAACCGTTTGCAAGGAATAGGATACGTACATGCCACACGATTGGTAGTGTTTTCAGGTTCAGCAAGGCGAAGAAGATGGCTGCGGCTTTCCAGAAGCCGACAGATTGCCAGAGTGAGGCGACAAAGGATTGTACAGCCTCCATGAGGAAGAAATTAAAGTATGAAGATATTAGTGAAAAGAAAAAAAAAAGGATATACAAAGTAGAAGGACAAGTAGGGCAAAATAGCGCCGTCTATAAATGATATGCAATCTAGCTTCAAAACTTCCAGAAAATGAAAAGAATCGAAAAAAAGAAAAGGGATCCACCCAATGAGTGCCCAGACCTCGGCATACTCTGAAGTGGGTCACCCATTGAGCCAGTTAAAAAGGCCAAATTGACACCATTCTGGATTTTCTAATCAGATTCCAGTCCCAACAACAGATCTCGCATGGTCTCAAGGATCGTTGGGGCAAATTGCAGAATAATCCGTCATCAGAAATGTCCATAACCGCCTTACATAGAACCATACGGTCCATGCTCCCACTCGACTCATTCGTATGTACATATACCTTTATTCCTATCGGTTTGGATAGGTTAAGTGACTAATAGAGTTACCAAAACCGTTCAAGAAACCAAGCTGCGTCTTCGGGTGTTTAGTTGTTTAGTTAATCGAACTATCTCGTCATCAGGAAATCCGGGATATTCTGGCTGCCGTGTGAACATATCCTCAGATACCCAATCCATTGAGTTCCATTAGTGCCGTCATACACTATACGAACAGCCCTGGAGTGATAAGTAGTAGAAGAACAGAGTAGGGCACATATTCTCCGGTGATGTCATGGTACCGAAGAAAAGCCTACGGGAAGCTGAATAGACCATCCTGGCAAAAGACGATTGACCGGATCAGATGGATACTGCCGTAGAAACGGAGGACCGCCTGGAACACCGCCTGGATATACGGTACGTCCTCGGACTAACAATCCTCCGGTCCGTGTCTCTGGATAGAAAGACATGGACGTAAACAAAAGTATACAGACGGATGAGGAAAGTCACTGGTCAGTAAATAGACTCCGAGACGGTACTTTGTCTACTCGTTAGCAGCTGTGACTGTTCATTGTAAGGGTTTGCTTAGAACATGAACCGAAAAGCAATAACCGATAAACATTTTCATAGATTTAAAGAGACTAAAGCGGATAGGGAACATGTACGATTGTGCACCCCGTTCACAACCAAGGGCGGAATTGATAGAAGCAAGCAAAAGACGTACTATTCTCGACGCGTATCCAGAAAATATTAAAGATATTTGTTATAGATCCTCTTTAACCAACAGTGTGGAGCTCGGTAAAATGTGATATATTACGACTTCCTGTTTGGGCCAGGTCTTGAACTACGGAGGACAATGCACCAGCTTCTGATAATTGTCGATGTAACGTGGAGAAGCCGAGTGGGCTCAACTTTACCCTAAATTAGGCTCCGTCAGGGGTGGGATAATCCCGGAATGTCCACCGGATCAAACGCTCCGACTTGTCATCCCAAACTCCCATCCCGGCAGGTGGAAATAAACGATCTATGTCATATCTATATGGCAAGTATGCCGAGAGGATATGTCACTAGTACGAGGTTGTATTTTTGAGCAAATGATTAGTTAGTAAATCACGAACATTCTCTACGGAAACTTGTATTAACTTTGGTTCTCATATAAGCTCAACCAGGGCTCGCGGCCAAGAAAGGAAATCAAAGCTTGTTACTATCCCGAAGGTATGAATAGATTGATACGGGTCGAACGGGGCTCTTAACGTTGAGTAGATCAAAATCACTTCTCTCTGCCCCAACTTTATATTGTAGATAGTTGAGGATTATACCGAGGTATGTGCTTCTGCTGCTTCTTGTTTTTGGGCCCCAGACTGGGTCCAAAACTTATGCAGGGTGACACACAAGGTATATGATTCCATTAAGATTCCCGATTCCCCGAGGTTGCTCCAGAGCCCAATCATGCCCCGAGGCCTCCTGTCAATCATCACATCCTTTGGATGCCTATCATAAGGTATACAGTGACCACACAATACAAGTACTGTAGCAGAAATGAGCTGACATTTAGTGATACATTTATGTAACCTCGGCGGATTTCCGCTCTTCCCCCCGGTTAGCGATGTGGAGCATCCCCACCATTAGCGTGGTAGGGTTCATCGATATTTGGAGGTCATAATCAGAGACCCCCCAGGCCCTGGCTAATGCACTTAAATATCTCTTGTGTGGTTTGTACCATTGGCATAGTCACGAAACGTGATGGAGGCCCCAGCATTAGAGAGTGAGAAGTTACTCATTAGCAAAGATAATTGGTCTGATAGTTCTTCTTTAAAGAGCGACAACACCTCCCTTCTCTCAATTATCGGTTATTGCCTGCTGAATATCTTTGTTTGGACACCAGCGAGGTAGCAAGTCATCCTCTCCTCTTCTTTAGTCAAGTTACTGGCTTCGCGCTGAACATAACTTCAGGTTTCTTATCAATTACTTTCCTCCGCTCGAACATGTCTTACCAGCTCCTCCTGCTGTCTCTCAGGAGCAACAACTGCAGATGAAGTTCCTTTCGTCCCTTTTACTGCTTCTGGCCGGTGCAGACGCAATCAATGCTCATCCCACAGCCGTGGAGGAGTTCACGCGTGAGCTGGAAGTAGCTAGTCCCAACCCATCTGGGCTTGCTCTGCGAGCCCTCCAACAAAGAGCACCCAACTGCAGCCGTGTGGATGCTTTCATCTCTAGAATCTCATCGGTTAAAGCCCAGTACGTGTAAACAACAGCCCGCCGACGCACCCCATTTGCCTCAGACTATTAACTTCAATAGGGTTGCCTTCGTTACCTTCGGCCCCGAAGCCGCCAAATACATTGGCCGCGCCATAACACATGGTGATCCCACATGCGATGACTGGGCTCAGGGAATCAGATACGCCCTTACCCTCATCTTCGCAATCTTCGGTAAAGATGGCGCAGAGCCAGCAGTTCGTCCTGGCGACGTAGTTCGCAGAATAAATACAAGAAGCTACATGGATATCGCTACAAATGCTCTGAAGGAAAGCAGCTTGCAATTCGCAAGCATCGAGGCGGACGAAAATCTGCTCAGCATCGAGAAGCGGTCCTCGGATGAGCCACAGCTAGTTGAGAGATTCCTTATCCGCGGCTTGTATCATGCTGAGTTAGGAAACGATCCGACCGATATATGGGTCAACCATTGGAGTAATGGCGATAACACCCTGCAGATTATCCCAGAGAATAGTCAGCAGGATGGCAACTCTACTCTAACTAGGCGTTGGGATAAGCCTGGCTTCAAAATTGCTTACACTACGAGAAAGACTTCTCCACTGAATGAGCAGGACGCCTTGAAGATGGCTAGACATATTAGTCTGAAATGGCAGGGTATGACCCTTGGCAATGATATTTCGGACTTCATAGGGTTTGTGGAGACAGGGCACACAGCAAACTTCTATTTCCGCATCATTCCTGAGCACAAGGGGTACGGGTTGAACTACGAGAGTGTGGATATTTGTGGCGGTATGGCAGGGATGTTATGAATGTATATCGTGAGAGCCAAGAAGCACTCCAACGCCTTTCCAGATATAGAACAAGATAGCGACAAGCTGGTCTACGCTGGGAAGTACCCACACTCTATTACTATTAGGAAAACATGCTTCATCAAATATAACTTTGTCATCCAAAATACAGGTTGACCGCGGCTTCCTGTTTATGCCTAGCGCCTATGCGCGCCTTTGTCTGATAATCGCGTAGCTCCGATACGCATCAGAAGGTACTAGCTGATACCGCTGCAAACATGGTACGCCTACGCAGTTGGATGCCATCCTTAAAGAATCGAAACATTTGGACGAACCCCAAAGACGGAAGCTTTGGAGAGTACCTACTCTTTTACGGAATCAACTTTTGAATTTACACTATAACCATACGTCAGACATAGCTCAAAACTTACTCAGCTCCTGGTCCTAACAAGAGTTATCTCCTGATACCAGGAATGATCTGGTAGGAGATATCGCTAACTTATATATAACCTCCAGACCCTATAGGGACTGCTAATATAATTACTAATGAGTAATCTATCAAGAGCTCTCTAAAGATATAGCCTAGATCATAAATTCAAGAGTCGTCATATGTGGCAAGTAAGCAATGTGGGCTGTATGGCGCCAGATTGGAGGCATGTGCCTTCAAGCCACTCATACCAGCAACTGCCACAGATATGTTGTATTGACCTGCTCACCCGACTGTGTAGTTCACTCTAGATTTACTCGTCTAATAACTTTAAGAGACGTTTCTTCATCACCACACCCGCCACACGGGCGGTTTCCTCCTCGACAACAATTAGGTACCTGAGCCCTAACTTGTCAAACATTTCTACAGCATACTCCAGAGGTGCCTTTGCTGATACGGATAATGGGCTCCGATTAATGCGCTCGGAGAAGATGCCATCCAGAAGGTTGATGTCACCCTCTTCATCCAGCCCGGCAACAGCGTCCAGGGCATCCGCAAGCTCAGCCTCTGTAATGTATCCGTGGCATAAGCCGTGATTATTCACAAACACGAGGCCGGCATCCATCAAACCTCGGGCTCTGAGGCCTTCCAGCTTAGCCCGGAGAATGGATGGTGCGACACGGTAGTTGGGGCCAGTAAACACGGTGATGGCCTCCATCGTCTCGGTGGGGGGGATGAGGGCTTCGACCAAGGCAGTCTCTCCGGTGGCCCTAAGCTCCCTGACTTTGGCAAGGGCCCTCTCTGAATCCAGGAACGGATGGCCCTGCAAGTGCTGGGCCAGATCGTACACGCCATCCGCGCAAATGCGATCGGCGACCCATTTCGCCGTGAGGATGGCGATCATGAACGGTGGAATGAACTTGACCTCACCCGTGAGCTCAAACATGATGACTGCCAAGCTGACTGTCACCCGGCTGATCCCGGCTAGGAAGGCTGCCGACCCGACCATGGCGAATATGCCCGGCGAGATGTCTGGTATCAGTTGACCCACCATGCGTCCAAACAGTGCACCTGCATCGAGGGCAGGGATGATAATGCCTGATGGCACCTTGCAACCAAACGTGATGGTGGTCAAGATAAGCTTGATGATTGTCCCCGAGATCAACCAGGCGTAGTATCCGCCTTTCTCATCACGAGCCTCTTGCTGGCAGATCCAGTCCTCCGTCACGACATTGCAGTCCACGAGCAGACGCTCCATGACAATATCACCAGTATCTCGAATC